TCTTGCAATACATGATACACTTATCATCCCTCCTGTGAAACTACAGCCTGAGAAAGAAGGCAGAACTTGATAAGTTGATTCTGTGCTCTGTTGAAACACATTTTAACACAGTATTGCAATAATATTCATTAGCTGCATGTACATTTTGCATAGTGTGCAAAACTATATATTTTTTAATGTATTATAGTGCCAAAAGTATTCATTTGCAACCCTTCCTTTGCAGTCCTACATTGTTTTTCTAAGCACTGAAACTAAACATTTTTTTTTTGCATTGGCGTTTGTTGGTGCTTGAATATTAAAGCTTGGATATTAATCCAAACTGCATATTTCCTTTCTTTTTTATTATTACATTTAATTTTGAATGTCAATATTTTTAAATAAAAGTCACAAAGAACAAAATACCTTTTTAAACACTGTATGTGTGAAGATCATAGCAGAATCATGATGTGCTGACATTTGTTTTTCTTCAGGTCTCTCATATTGACAGATATGTCTGTCCTTTGTCAGCGACACCTTGTTCATCACTTTGATAGTCCACTTTAAGTTCACTCCAGCAAGTAACAAACACAGCAGATACTTAAGCATTGCTATGTTTGTTCAGAACACCAGTTTGTCTGTTTGTGGATATAAACTGTTGTGTTATCATTTGTAACGGTTTGAAATGACACGTAAGACAAGTATAAATCTGAGAGATCGCAGCACATATAGGGCTGTGCACAGTGATACATTCTTTAACCTTATAGGGGAGATGGGGCTAGTTGTCATGCAGGGTGGTTGTTACAAAGGCTGTAGGCCTGTCTTACTAATTATAAGGTATTGAGCGAAATGTCCAGTTGCACAAACTGTGTTGGACAGTTCGTGTAGCCCACATTTAGAAATCGTGATCTGTGGGAATGCTGAGAAAGTTAAAGGAGCAGCTGTAGAGCTTGTGCAACTCTTGGAACCTATGGAATTTTAAGCACAAGCCAGAAGACAGTAATCTTTCCGGGATTTCTTGGAATTCTTGCAATACATGATACACTTATCATCCCTCCTGTGAAACTACAGCCTGAGAAAGAAGGCAGAACTTGATAAGTTGATTCTGCGCTCTCTTGAAACACATTTTAACACAGTATTGCAATAATATTCATAAGCTACATGTAAATTTCAGAGAAATAAAATATAAGGTATTGAGCTAAATGTCCAATTGCACAAATTGTGTTGGACAGTTCGGGGCAAGTTGTCTAGGCAGTTTTTATGTGGTTTTAAATGTATGCAATTTATTAAATAGAGTATTTCTTAGCCAAATCAATGGTTTGATATCTTTATATGTTGCTTTGTATATTTTTTGCTGTTGCATAATGATAATGGTTGAAAAGTTCAATACATTTTTGTGGTCCAGCCTGTTAAATAAATAAAAAAAAAAGAGTAAAAAGTATGACTATTAGCCATTGGACTCTCCCCTACAGTATCTCACATAAAGTACATATCACATATACAGTACATCTCTCACATACATCTCATGGGAGGAGAGTAAAGTATGTACAAACTAAGATAACATGACCATAACTGGCATGGCTGCTGCTCTCCAAATGTACCATCTGGAATTCATTGACATCTTGAAAGAATAGCTGTATATGTATCAATGTGTACGTGGGGGGAATGGTGTCTGTTTGTATCACAGAAAGATAGAAATCGAGTTTAAATTGGTTTAATATGTATATCAGTCTTTACTTGCATGTATATACTTTGAAATAAGAGGCAGCTGGGAGATAAACAATCATCAATCCTTGATGAAGTTTAGTGTCCAATGTTAGTTTCCACAATTTATAGCCCTCCGACAGGTCATGCTCTTAATAGGTTTTGTAGCTCTCTTCACGACAACAGACACAGGTTGGTTCTTTAGAACGGGCGTTTTATTCTTAGGGTCGTCTTCTTTATGTCTTTCGCGCCTTTGACGTCTTAACAACCACAACGCCGTGAGAACTGTACACAAGTGAAAACAGTACAACTCAGGGTCCTCTGATGGCTATAAACACTCGAAGTGCATTCATGGTCATTCCTCTTCCTTGGTGGTATACACGCTCATGATGATGTTTCACGATTAAGGCTGACAAATGAGATTTCTTCGGAAGAATTGCAGGATGCTTTATGTCATGATGCAAGGTTGATCGCGATAACCGTCCTCCCACTCGGAGGACACCATTTTTGTCCAAGAAAGCATTTAACTGACGTAACTTGTTGCGTTTGTTCAGAGTGCCATCCTTTTGGAGTTTGAACCTCTGAATATCTTCAGCAAAGGCCTCTTCTTGAACTAGTTTGATGACGATGATTTCTGCTTCCTTTCTTTCTTCAAGACTGGTTGCTTCATTTGTTCTTTGTTGAACTCCTTTGAATTCTCTTACAAACCTCTTCAGCCTGGCAACAGCCCTCACTACTCGAGACCAGTCAGAAAATTTAGTGAATCGATTCACCATTGAATTCACTTCTTTCGTCTTAATTGTGTGAATGTGGGCCTTGCGAAGCTCAGGGTCAGTAATTTCTATTTCTCCCACCGTTTCCTCTTCATGTGGAAGATCTCTCTGCCACAGAAAGTCAGGCCCTTTCAGCCAGTATGAATCTTTCAGCTGAGCTGCACTAAGCCCTCTTGAGGCGTGGTCGGCAGGGTTGTTTTCGGAATTAACATGTCGCCGTTGTTTAGGGCATGTACTAGACCTTATGCTTTGAATTCGGTTGGCTACGAATGTGTGAAATCTCCTGGCATCGCTGTTCACATAGCCGAGGACTACTCTAGAGTCAGTCCAGTAATACTCTTGCAAGTTTTCAATCTCTAGCTTTGCAGAGATTGGGCATTATGAACTTGACTTGTAACTGGTATAGATTGTGGAATGAATGGAGGACTTGAGGCTTGGAGCACTTGGGTCGTGGCTGGCAGAGACTGAGGAATGAAGGGAGGACTTGTGAAAGTAGGAATTTGAAGTTCTCCAGCTGATTCAGCATCATGCAGCGAATCAATCGCATCAAAATTTCCTTCCACTTGATCATAGACCTTTACTCGAGCTCTGGCAGCGTTCAACTTCTTCACTTCTTCTAAGCGTTCAAGCTTTCTTTGCTTGTCCTGCATTGCTTGTTTTCTAGCCAGGTCCTCAAATTCAAATTGTGCTAAACGTTGTCTACTTTCAACCTCTAGCCTTTGAAGTTCTGATGTTTCTCTTTTTTGTTCCTCCAAAACTGCCAAAACTTCCTGAGATGCAGCAGCTTCAGCCACAGCTTCGTTTCTTTTGACTGAGTGAATGCTAGAATGGGTTGAACTGCATTTTGATTGCTGAGACAGTGGTCTTGATAAGGAGCCTGTCGAGTCCAATATTGATCCAACATCAGGCCAAGGTTCTTTCTCTACATCTGCCGCATGTCCTTCACGTTGCCTTTGTGCTCTTCTAACAATAAATCCTGAAAGCGATATGCATGCATCAATCCTACGTCGCAGGTCTTGTTCAGGAGTCTGCACTCGACGTAGCTCTTCATAAATGGCCTTGGTTTGGATTCCTTATCTGTTCAGCTGCCAAACAAGGCCTGTGTTATGCATGCGTCTACTGTTGGCTAAAACGGAATCTGAGGCTTTAATTCAGTAGAGCTGAACTGTCTCCTACAAGGATAGAGGACATGTGTAACAGGCCAAACAATTAATCCAAGGAGAGACAGAAAGCACTATTAATTGATTGCAGATGAACTGGTAGAGCATGGCGATAGCAATGCTAAGGTCAAGGGTGACATTCTCAGTGTACTGAAAAATGTATCTTGTCATGATTTGAAAGTTGCTCTTAAGCAGCAAGAGGGGAATATTTTCAGTGAATAACAACAAATTTCAATCTGTTCTTATCATATTCAGAAGACTTGGAATATAGTGCATATGGACTATAGTCATATGGACTAATTTAACAAAGTTTTAATGTTGCTTTTTTTGGAACTGTTGAATAGAAAACACCTGCATGAAAGTTCTTTAAAATTCTACTTTGTGTTCCACAGAAAAAAATAACAGCATACAGATTTAGAACACAAGTGAGTAAATGGTATATGCAAGTTGCTCTAGTGTGAACAGTTGTGTTAATGATTGTTTTTTAAACAAACATTTTGTTTAAAACACATGTAACATTTGTTGTGTCACCGAGCAAGTGATGGATTTCTTCAATAGAGTCAATGAAGCTCGAGAAGCAGAGTTCCAGAAGTCAAAATAAGACTTTATTAAACAAAGAAACAAAGCCGACATAACGGTAACCACATCTAATTTTCTGTCTGTCTGCGCATCCATTTTATATCTTTCTTTCCAACCAAATTAGGTAGTTCTGGTTTTTTATTGGTTATGCCTGTCTGGTTCGCCACAATTAATTACTAGTCCACTTGGTCCAATTTTTAATGGTGGAATTTGGCCAGATCAGCCATTTAAAAAAAAAAAGTTTACTCCGCTGCTTCCTATTGGTTAGCGGTGGTCACATGAGACATACATCAAACCTGTTTACATGTACCTGTCATATTCTGGAAATCACCCGAAGCTCATAGGGTTATTTAAGTTCACTGGTAATCCAATGGAAATCACCAGTACTGCCCAATGGAAGGGCCCTTAGACCTACAATCCTTAAGACATCCAGTAATTAAGATCCACCTGGTCGGATCGTTATGTCAGGAAAATACAGGGAAAGACAAGAGATTCAGTTGCAAGCGTTCAAAGGTTTATTTTCAGAAAACCAAACCGGTAACCAGCCTAGAAGAATGCCAGGAATGAAGATGCAGAATTCCTCAGCAGCGCAGGGACTACAAAGGGCAGGTGACCGAACCGGACGACAGTCTAAGGAACAACGGCCTCCACAGACAAAGCAAGAGATCCTCACAGTAGCAGGTGGATCCACAATAGTCCGACGGTCACGCCACAGGAAGCCTCCAACAACGCACAGATACGAGAGCAGCAAACCGGAGACGGGAGAAAACTGAACAGAGAACCAGAGTGAGCAAACAACGATCCGACAGGGAATGAGCAACAAACAACTCAATATAAAGGGTGCAGCTGATCAACGCTAATCAGCGATCATGAGTTGCCCAGTAACGCAGGTGACAGCCACACACGCACACAGACACACACACAAAACAAAGGAGGAATCCACAGACCTGCGAACCGTGACACCTTCAAAGCCATGGTACGTGAATGGCTCCAGAGTGGAACTGCAGTGATCCTTTTCCAGACACGCCATTTTGTTGTACTCACAGTCACTCTCAGGGCCTGGACCAAAATACACTCCATCAGGTGAGTTGATGGACGGATCTTCATTAAAATAGTTGTGCAGCCTAAGGATGACACCGCCACCATTGCCTACAGTAACCGTGTTGGGGATGTCTTCTGCATGCGGAATGTGTAGGAAACCGGTGGTCACCCAGGCAACCAAGTCCTTTAGAAGACATAATGAAGTTTAAGTCATAATTTCCATTAAATAAAAGTATCTGCTGAATAAAAACATTCTGATGAAGCGGCTCATTAATACCTCGTTGACGATCATCTCATTATCGTCAATATATTTGCTGAAGTCAACAAATGGGGACCACATGTAATTCTGATTGTACAGACTGCTACTAGTCTGCTCTTCATCTTTATGCTTGGTTAAAGCAACTTTATACCTAGAAGAAAAAAGAAAGTGAATGGGAGATAAACAACACGTCTAAAATATACATGTATCTCATTATTGTGTGCATGACTCAATACACTGAGGCCTTACCGAGCCCAGGATATGGACTTCTCTACGGACTCACTTTCAGGGAGGTGATCTCCAGCAAAGCTCACCACCTGAAGCCTGTAAGAGCGATGGTGGCCCCACTGATTAGTCTGATTCCTGGCTATATGAAGGTAACGGGGTGTCTTGGCACTATGAAGCATCGCTGCTTCTTTTTCTGTCTTGATTTGCTGCTCCACCAGTTGTGGTATCTTTGCTTTCTCTGAGGGCATCCATGGCAATGGCACTTCCTTATACACCATGTCTTTAGTCTAAAATACATTCTTCACACCTTCAAAAAAGAAAGAAAATGTTTTTAAACTGTTTTGGGACTTTTAACAGTATTTTTTTTTCTGTGGTATTCTTTGGAAGCTGATGGCCATATTTAGCTTTTCTATATAGTCAATTCCATCATTTTCATTATGACCAAAATGAAGGAACCCACAGAATCAAGACTCTGCTGTAGACCATTGTGAGATCCTTAAAGGGATAGTTCACCCAAAAATAAACAGTCTGTCATCATTTACTCCTCATGTTGTTCCCAATGTTGTTCTGTATGATGTTCTTATGGCATAATGAAAAATCTTATTGTTATCTGTTATTTGCCCATAAAATGACTTTCATTATATAATTAAATGTATATTTTGGGCAAACTATAGCCTATCCCTTTGATAATATGAAACAATTCATAAATATTGGTGAGTGACATTAATATCCATACGTCAGTCATCTTTATATCTTGAAATAGCCAAATGAAGGGTGTGGATGACATTTCTCAAAGTCGTAGTCAAGTCCAGCAACATACAGACAAATGAAAAGCCTATATTATGCTGTTTAATGTTACAAATGTTCCCAATGTTACCCGCTATTGGCATGTGACATGTCACAAAATGTCAACACCTAATAAAAGTTTTTATTTATTGGAAATGTTCAGTGGCTGATATCTCCACTGAGTAAAATGTAATTAATGTGACTGTAAATAAAAGTGAATCTATGTTACTGTTACTTTAGTAATGTGCTTGCTTGTTTTAGCTCTTACCTAAAATATCCAGGTCGACTTTAAAACGAGTATGGATATTTCCAAGGACATTCTCTGCAACCTGGTGGCCGTACTGCACATTTCCATCAACCTTAAAGGAGGATGATATGTAGCCAGTGGCGTGAACTCTCGCTTCCACGGAGCCGCTTTGATAGAAAATAAAGTCCCATATGTAATCATAGTTCCCTATTGCAGTAATAGTGCGGAACACCAGAGCGCTGTTTGCCATCCCACCAAACCCATTATGAAAGAAATCCGAGAAATGCCGTCGCAAAGGTCGCCCAATGTCATGTTCAAAAACTCAGATGGAGTTTCTGTAACGCTGCGTGACGTTGGTGTCAATATAGCGGTAGGTGTCTAGAAGGTGGCAGCGTACGGACAGTCGACCCCACGCACGAGCTCGTGAGCGAAGCGACCGATCCCGATACTTGAGTCCAGGAACTTCGAGAACAGACATCGCCTCCTGCACGCCGAGTGCGTACGCAATCCTTTCTCCTTTAAAACGAACATCAAACACCCGCATCCCAGTCAGAGAGCTCAAGCCAAACGCGAAGCTCCAGTCCAAATAAATCACCCGGTTGTTTTTAACGCTGAAACGTTTCCCTTGAAGGTAATACTGCTGTGGTCCTAAACCAGAAGGTTTTTTTCCTTGGCTTCAGCGAAGCGTAATTTGGGATTTCTTTGTAGACTATCTTTTTTAAACGACCCGCTTTGTAAATTACCACAAACTCATCAATGGTGTCAAAGTATTGACCGTTGTACAACAACCTGTCAACAGTCCAGTTTGACGAGTTGCTGCTTTCGTGATTGATCAGCATCTCGAAGCCCACAGGATGGATGTACATGCCACTGAAATCGCGGAAAAAAGAGATCCAGGTCTTGCGGTCTCCACTTCTGGTGCCTCTCGGCATACTTTCAAACGTCAGCAGCTCCCTTTGTCCTGGGATATAACCAAAACGTTCCGTCAGAGGTTTTTAAAGTTTTTTGGGGGGGGGGTTCTGTCCGCTGGAATCCAAGTAGCGCAGCACATCAGCCTTCTTCGGGAGCGAGAGGTCAATTAAAAAGATGAAATTCTCCGTGGGCTTTGCTAGGAACGAATGGGAGATATTTAAGTCTTTTTGGGCCCACATGTAGTCGCGAACAGACTTGTACTCCTCTGCTGTTAGGTCCACAAAAAAAAAAAAACTTTTATCTGAGTGCCTGAATTGTAGAGACTTTTGCGGCTGGGACATACATTTTGGAAGCCTATTTGAATTTAAGCATATCAACACAATGTTAATGATTACTGAGATGAGTCCCAGAAGTATCAATACGTATTTTAAGAGAGAATTCCTTGTTGTAGCGACTACGCCTCTCTTGTGCTCGAGGGCAACGCTCGGTCTCGAGCGTGAGAGTGCAGAATGGATCTCAGATACTACAGTAGGCTGGTAGTAAATGTTATAACCACACCCACCTGGGCTGCTCCCCTAAAGTTCAGACACGACCCCAGTGCTTTAATTAACATTTATCCATTTTACATTCGTTTTATTATCAATGCATGACCCTTTCTATTAATAAATCTAAGAGCCACATTGTGCGCAATTTTAGTGATCCTTGAATTTGTGTTTCAGTAGCACTCTAAATTGAATGTGCATATTTTAAAAGAATGTCAGATGCAGCTTTTTATGTAAAGGTTTCTTGACATTTGGATGAATCTAGTTAGTACAACAGAATAAACCTTTAACTTTTACAGATAAAAGCTTAAAATTGTGCATTTTATATATATTTTTTCTCACAGAAATTTAGCTAAATTGGTAAATGCTATTGGACTAAGTGTGAAACAAGCAATGAATAAGCAATGTCAACTGTACACTCGCTTAATTACAATATTTGCACAGCCTGTGGAATTCCAGACATTAGTTATTTTTTTTCCCTGGTTTTCATCATTTAAATCTAAGTTCATTTCCATTGAGGGGAGGAAGGAATGTTGCGCAACAGTTCTCAGGTTTATTTGGACATGCTCCATTTGTGCTTCAGGAAAATAATTCGATTTCTTGATAAGGTGTGAGTAATACAGAAAAGCCTTTTTTAAAATGATAATAGCTTTGATTCGGGCTCCCTCTGTCTTAGAAACACATTTGAATAAATATAAAACAGGAAACAGGAAATGCCTAAAAGTTAACTGAGGGTCATAGTATAATACAAAAACTCCCTCATGCAGACAACAATGCTCTTTAAACAAAAGTTACAACAAAACATCTGATTGTATTTGTATGTATTTTAGATTTATGATATCTCCAACCAAGTTCCCATTTTCATCGGACATTCAAAGAATATATAGCAAGGACTCCATGCAGTTTATTCATCTTACCCATTTTTTGTGAGTACTCCTCATTAAATGAAGATCCTGTTTAAACAATATTGTAGTATGCACTAAAAGCATCTATCAAATGCAAAAGTGTAATATATAGCCTAAGTACATATTGTTTTAGGATAACACTGGCTAAGAAATCAGATAACAAACCAGGAGGATTCATTGAGAAATTCACTTCAATTACACTTTTGCATACGTATGTTTTTAAATTATACACTATTTATATTCCTAAAGACGATGATTCAGGAAACAATATTTGTTTACCATTCTTTGTCAAGGTAGGGACTGTTGAAATTAGAATATGTTTTTTATAAGTAATTTAGTGGCCGATGGTGACCTTAAAATTCAAGCAGCAAAAAGTTCTTCCTGAATCTGGTTTTTGTTCGTAGATTAAATTACTCCTTACTCCCTCAGGACTTTCTGCAACAATGCATTTTTTTTCCTCAGGAAGCCCCAGTACTGCACTTGCAGGGTAGACTTAAGGTTAAAATCACAAGTCTGTGCTGCAGATATGAACTGCAGATGTTGTGCCAACAGCAGAGTGACCTGGAGATTCTATGCTTGTCCTGAGAAGGGTCTCGTCTGTCTGATTGCATCACAATTGTTTAACATTCATGTTTAAACATCTCTTGTGTGAACTCTGTTTTGCAATGGGCTGTGTGGTTTCCCCATCATAAGGGGGAGGGCAAAAGAGTAGGGCATTTTTAAAGTAAAAAAAGTGTATTCCTTGGATATGCCCTGATCTAGGATAAATCAACAAATACAGCTCAAGATAAATAGTAAGAAAAACCTATCAATGCAAAGCACCAATATTAAATTCACATCATAAATGTGTTAATCAAAAAACACAATCTTGTGCCACCAGAAAAATCAGGCCAAAAAGCCAATGGAATTGGTGCCCCCTGCTGGTCATAGAATTGACTGCAGTGGAATTTACTTGGAAAAAAATTGATCCCCCCCCCTCAGGAAAGTTTAAAATAGACACAAATGAAAAATAAACATATAGACACAGATAGTATACTAAATTTACTTAAAATTATCAGATAGATGAAGAATCAACAAAGTGATACTGATACAGTGAACAGATGTTTTAAGAGAAAGGTAGAGAAACAGGATAGATCACATTGACCTCTCGCATAACATGCTTGCTAACAAAGAGCGACGCAAAAACATTGGTATGCATGCGCATAGTGCGCAACAACTTACAAAACAAGACATTTTCCACCATATGATTTGTAATTTGCTTCACCTAAAACACTTATACAAATACGAAGGAATAGGAAAGCCATGCTATGATGAAAGCAATGTACGTGAATTTTACGTGAATGAATGTGTTACTATCAAATCCGGAAAAAAACGTAATTTTGACAATTACAAAAAGTGTTGCGACAGTACCCAGCACCCACAATAACCTGACAAGAAGAATAGCTTACGTTAAAAACAATATATAATACCATAAAAAGTAGTAACACAGATTTTCATCAAAATTGTAGGCTACTAAGCAAATTCATTAAGAGACATTCTATTCCTTGACGTAACAGAACGTTGCTATGCAACAAAAACAAAAACCTACTACGGCTGCTGCGCAGTGAAGCTTTACGTCATAGCTGTCATTACATGTCATTACGTAGACGCCTGGACATCTGTAATGACCAATCAGAAGCCAGGATCGGAACTTAAAAAAAAAAATAATAATAAATACAGCCCTTGGAAAGTAAATATGTACAGTTCACTCGCTGGGTGAATAGACAATAGGTTATTTATCACTGTACAGTACCAACATGTCATTACGTAGACGCCTGGACATCTGTAATGACCAATCAGAAGCCAGGATCGGAACTTAAAAAAAAAATAAATAAATAAATACAGCCCTTGGAAAGTAAATATGTACAGTTCACTCGCTGGGTGAATAGACAATAGGTTATTTATCACTGTACAGTACCACACACTAACCAACTTGATTCTTTCTTATTTATGGATCAAATTATCTTTTACAATACTAAGTAAATATTTTACATTAACATTCACGATTTTACCCTTTGAACCGATTCAAATGAAACCACTGCACATTAGATTGTTTCGCTTTGAGTGACGCAGGCATTTCCCTGTCAGCTGATGCGGAGGGCGTGTTTGCGTCGCTGATGTAAACAGAAAGGACCATTTTGATCAGAGAAATCTAGAAGCCAGGACACAGTAACTCATCAAAGCTTTTCAGTTTTCATCTATGCAACGCCTTAAATAGTACTCGCGCCATGGACTTCTATATCAACCTGAAGGTGAATTTTCGAGGGAATGCGAAGAGTTTCTTGCTGTCTGGCTCGGAGACGAAGAGCTGGGAGTCTATGGAGGCCACGGTAAGCAGAGGCTGATGAGGAGATGTCAGTCTGACCACTCACCTTGATGCCGCAAAGCCTTTCACCCCGAAGCCATCCGATGTCTGCCTCATGCGATTAGAGTAGGATTACTAGACATTTTTTGTGACAATCACTACTCGGTGTGCTGCTTCGACGAGCGGAATGGCGTAAAAGCTTAATCATTTAGAAAGAGAAGCCTTTCACCCCGAAGCCATCCGATGTCTGCCTCATGCGATTAGAGTAGGATTACTAGACATTTTTTTGTGACAATCACTACTCGGTGTGCTGCTTCGACGAGCGGAATGGCGTAAAAGCTTAATCATTTAGAAAGAATGGGCTAAGCGACCATTTTGATCCGAAAGCCCACGAATTAAATAGCAGCCATATTTATATCTAACAAAGTACATTATATCTGACGTGAGCAGGCCTTCCATCGATTAGACCACAATTACAAAGGGGTTTAGCAGAGGAGAGGAAACACCTGTCAGGTCTGTAGATCTCAGCACCAAGCTGTCTCAAAACCTTCTAAGTTCCCTTACTACACAGAATGATAGGCGCATAGATACCCAAATGCTGTCCAGGTGTGTAGCTCACTAGGTTTTGAAACACTGACTGCAAATCTGTTTCAAGCAAATGTCATCTGGTGGTCTAACGTTACTTGTAAGCATCGTGTAATCGTGTCAGTTTGGAATAATGGACAGCCAGCCGTTCGACGTGGCGATAGGCCAGACAGGGTCTATATCACCCAATGGGTTTATTTTGGGATACCACTGTACATTATCTCATTTATTACAAGGCTACTTACCAAATAAGTACATTAATATTATTAAATAATAATTTGAGTTTACAGTTACCTAATTTGCTTACTTGTGGAGACCGCGGACAAACAGAGAACACCAGCAGGAAACAGGTTGCCCGGATGAGAGGTCGGTTATGCCGAGTTCACGCTACACGGTTTTCAAAGACGTCGCATCACTGTTGGTTTCACACTGAACGACTATCTGGGGTGTGAAACCAACAGTGATGTGACATCTTTGAAAACCGTGCAGTGTGAACTCTGCATTAGTTATGTGCATTATGTCACTGTTTAAACTGCCCTATCAATCATCTTGTCACAGTTAACATCATCCACATTTCGTTTAATTTGATTTCCTACCGTATTGGAGAGACACGAAGAGGCATGTTGATCTGCTATTTGTGGGTCTATCATGCCGAGAACTCTGCTCATATGTTTATATAATGATGCATTTAAAAG